CTCTCTCTCTCTCTCTCTCTCTCTCTCTCTCTCTCTCTCTCTCTCTCTCTCTCTCTGAGTTGTGATTTATAGCTTTTTAGATTTACAACACGTGATATGTAAGTTACTCTCATAAATCATTTTAAAATTCGATAATTGCGAGCAAGTGAAAGAAATCGTTTTAATTTTTAACTTTTAGTTAAATTCTTTGCCGTTGTTTACTTCTTATGTTTCAAGATGATTAATATCTTCTTTGCATTTGCTCTCGATGCAATCGCGAAATGGAAACGTAACAACAATATTTGTTGACATTCTGCTCGGCTCTCTAGTTAATAATTTGTCAAGTTTCTTATGATTTCTTCTTCTCGAAGTCACAGCGAGATGTGTCTGTCGGTATATTCTTTTTTGCTTTCTTTCCTTATTTTTTGGGGTAACAAATTATATTAACTTTATATATAAACGTTCATAATGTAAGCAGGTGGCTGGATTCCTGTTTATATATATGTATATATATACGTATATATATATACGATTGGATGTGAGTGTGTGTTTTGATCTAACAATGCATTTCCGTTACAAACTAACAAATTTTTATGTCATGTTATATCCTCTTATATAAAAATCCATGCGGCCACATAAACGTTCACTTTCATGCATTCGCACACACACATACACACACACATACACATGTGCATACAGCAACAAAAGCAGCAGTAAACATACGATAACTTAGTATAATTTTTGTTGGTGTTATTGCCGTTTTTGTAACTTGTCAATGGCTGCTTGAACTTCCGTCAACTATTTCCGTTTACCAGCAAATTGCATTAAAGACCAGGTCTGCTTCGTTTGTTTGTTTGTTTGTTTGTTTGTGTGTGTGTGTGTGTGCGTGTGTGTGTGTATGGCTATTTTATGTTGGAGCAGCTGAGTTAGCAGCTTGAATAAAAAAGTGCAGACTGCCGTTGTATTCGTATTCGCAATGGTTTGACGTTTGATGTTGCTCGTAATATATTTATGCTGTTGCTTTTCTTTATAACATTTCAATTTGCTCGAGTTCGACGAACAAAAAAAAAGAGGAGAAAAAAAAAATGTAATTTCAATTCTTCAGCTCAAAATTCAGCTTTAATTGTGACCGAAGCGTGGCGTGGCAAGTCTGTGTGGAATGCTTTCCCTCTGCTCCACTTTTCTTTCTTTCTTTTTTTATTATGCAGAGAGTTACAGTTGCTAATAATTATATAATTTCCTCTACAAAGTGAAAGTTAATTTGTTCTGTTGACGTCCTCGGTATTATTTCCTTTTTAATTCATTTCATTCATCTATTCATTGCCATAAAAGTGCTTCATTTTTGAGCATTGATTTCTTTCCGCTTTTCTTTTTTAATAATCGCTTTCCATTTCTTCTTTTATTCGCTGAATTCATTTAAACAGAAATTAAGTGATATTAAAGTCGCAAACGATTCGCAACGTATTCTATTTTTCAATTTTAATTATTTTCGTTTGCTTTTTTCTTTTCCTTTCTCCCCTATCCGCCTTATTGCTAAATAATTCTCTTTGATGGCACTTTACTTGATATGTTTCGTTGAAAGATTTATTTATTTATTTATTTATTTATTTACATTTTCGCAATATTCTTTGCGTATAGTACACTCTATACATCCGTTGCCGTTGCTGTAAAGAAAAAAAAAAGAAGAAGAATTTTATCATTTATTAATCAGTAAATTGTACTTGAGATCAGTCTTGAAAGCGTAATTAATGAAAATTATTTCATTTTGCGTGTTACGAATAAACTTGGCGGCCAAAACAAGTAAAAGCACTATAGTGGACAACAATTCTTCATTAAATATCCAACACCACCTTCTACTTATTCATATAATGACTTTGTGTTGGATGTGATTGAAAAAGTTGTCCGATCCGAACCATTTTCGTAAAGGTTCCCTCTTGTGGATGGTGCGTACTTTAAACATAAGAATACAAGATGGAGAGGACGGATAGACTTAGTTGCAAACCTAGCAAAATACTATGGTGAATTACGGTCGACTATTAAATACCCTACATCACCTCATGGTTATATGTATATATAAGGGTATATATATGTATATTTTTTTTCTTTATTTTTTTTCTATGACCAATCAATCACTCAGAGAATGTTACCTTTGCGTGTAACAAGGTGACGGTCGGAGAGTAGAGGAGGAAAAGGCAAGAAATAGGCAGGTAGGGGACACAACCCACGGGATGTGTTCTCACTCAATCGCTAAGTGTTATGCGACTAAGCACTCACGGTAGCTACGACCGCACTTGAGATTCAAACCCGCGGATAATTGATAGTTGCGGTACAAGAAGTGGCCCGAACCTAATCATTTTCAAAAAGATTCTCCCTCCCTTTGGCATAATCCAATTATTTAAAGTATCTTCCAAATTGCGGCCTGTAGATTGAACACAAGAAAACAAAATGGACAGACAGACAGACAAGTTTCGATTAATCGATATAATAAAAGTAAAGGTAAGTCTCATATTCTTCAGGGTGTTGCATCCATCTGCACAAATTTACGATAGCGTAGTACCGCAAGTGGTATGGGGCGTAACTAGTTTTCGTTCATAAAGACATTGAGAAACTGCAAAAATCGTAGAACAATGCACAGAAAGAGATGAACAAATGTTAACAAAGTATGTAGGAGCACCATAAGATTCTAATGAAAAGGGTTTCTTTTTAATTGGTTACACACACTTGACGTTACTGTGAACTAATGTGAACATTAACTTTTTGCTTGCGTTTAATGCACTGTCAGTGCCGTGTCTTGCTGATAACACACATGTCTTCCATTTTGATATCATTTGTTTTCGAAAATGAAAGTCTTGAGATCATTTCAAAATTACAAATCTACATTAGTGCGTTTGCATGTATGTAGAATTTTTATTGTAATTTTCGAAGCCACAAATATGCCTAAATGAATATTGGAATAAAATATGTAAAATATGTATAAAGTATGCAAAGTATGTATGTGTAATTGTGTGCTTTTCATATTTTCCTCCATAGATGGAATATTTTTCGATATTTTCCTAGAGGAGAATAGCAAAAAGAATGTGAAATGAAATAATGAGAAATTCGTAATAACTTGAAAACGAATCTCTCGTAAGCGTACAAACAAAAGAATCTTAAATTATATTTAAATTTTAATCAAATAAATTTTTTTAAACAAATGCTAAATCGTAGTTAAAGTCGATAGAGAAACTCTACGCTTTTCAATGTAACATTCGAATAGCTTTATATGTGTTGCCAATTGCGTAGAGAACCTATTCCGTCCTTCAGTCAATTTTTTGTTAATGACCATAAACTATATCAATTGAAAAGTAATATCGAAATATCTTCTATCAGGAGACAAATGGTTAACAGTCATGCAACCGGGTACAGAAATGTCAATTTATTGAGTTTCTTATAAGTTGTGATTACTTATTGTGTGCCATTAAGCGTCATACTAAGCATACTGGGTATGCGAATATGAAACCCGAATTTGTACATAAATGGCCCCAACATCGCTTGTATGGGACATATATGCCTGAACATGTACGCTGTTGTCGAATCTGATGCTAAATAAAGAGAATTTTTTCTTTGCCCAAAAGTAAAAGAGTCTCTCTTGGATGATAGCCTAACTGGAGACGTAAAGTGATAGCATTCTGAGAATCCCAGATGCAAAAATTGACGAATAGGTCCAGTTGTACCATTTGCATCTGTCGCTACACCGAATCGCTATAGCATGACGACGATACTCTATGTTTGAGTGAGACCAAAGGAGAGTGGTTTGCGATTAGCTATGAAATCTATTAAAACGCTACGAACAGCACGTAAAAAAAAAAAAAAAAAACGAGAGAGACATCGTAAAAAGCAATATAAGTTCCCTTTTTCATATGGCATCCGTCCACCCCATCTACGCAGCAAAGTCGGTATGCGATACGATCCAAACATGACATGTGGTCTACTCACCAAACTCGAGTCGAACTTCCGACTAAGATTTGTTTGCTTCAGCAGCACATGTACTGGCTGAGCAGTGCTTGACTTCTGAGAGGGCTGTATGAATGGTTCGCCTTAAAAGAAGACTAACTTTTTCGGCGTGCCATTCGTAAGCTGTCAGATAGATGGGGAAAAAGCATAGCTGTCGTTGCGCAATATTTCGAAGAAAATACTTTTTCTCTCTCTTACACAATAAATCTTTGCTTTGTTTGTTAGGTTTCATATCTACATACCCGATATATATGTATATATTATATTTGGGCGTGTGTATTATGCAGAATGTACACATATGCATAAGCATAATTTCCCCGGAGAATTCAAATTAGAAAAGCAAAATATGTAAAAAATAAATGAAATTCTAAAATTTATTGAAGAGAAATTTTTTTTTTATTTTTAATTTATTTTCACAAACTTTTGCACTTTCACAAATCAAATAAAACTCTATATTTTACTTCGGAATATCTAAAAAAAAAAAAAAAAAAGAAAAAAGAAAAATAAATAAAAAATTCATGTTCGTTTGAAAACGAATTTTGCATACTATTCAGCTCATTATTCCATCATATTTAAATACGAGTGTAGAGGTTTCTGTTAGTCGGGCACATATCAGTAGGCTGTTCATCCAACATTTACATGGCCGTTGTAAATGATTTTGCAAAATTGGTTTCGCGATTTGTAGGAGCTTGAATGCTGTGTTGGGATGAAGCTCTCTCCTATGTACGCGAAATTATCGCTTATCGCTTTACACCATTGGCTTACGAAATCAAAATTATTAAAATATTTTTTAATGGCTATGTAAGCACAGAACGGCAGTAGCGTTCATAAAAACCACTAATAGAGACGACCTGCCAGATTGGCGTCAAATTTCAACAACGGCTTCACATTTATTCGTACTCTGTTGAAAAACGTGGGACTTTTTTCTTTGAAAAACTTTTATGTAAATAAACAGAAAGACTATAGTGACGTGTGGTCCATCATAAAATACCCTACACTACTTTACAGTTATTCATGTAACAGTTTTTCATAAAGTAAGGCATCATAGGGGAAGTGGTCGAAAAAGTGGTCCTAAGCTTTTTTCGAACCATTTTCAATAGCGTTCGTCCTTGGGACAAAACATATCATAACAACTAAGAAAGTTATGTTCGGCCGGGGCCGAATCTCGCATACCCACCACGATGCTTTTCGCATTCTACTCTCCAAGGTCTATTATTTGATACCCATGTAGATATTTTAAAATGAATCTATTTTAAGGCAGAAAATATGTCTTCATTTAAGGGATTGGGCAAAATAGTTTTAAACCGATCTCTGATGCGCCTTGAAAACTTTATGTGAGCATGAGGGATGTTTTCCGCTTTTGCACGTAGGGAGTAGAGTGCTTCGTAAAGTAAATGTGGAATATTTCAGCCTTTTAACAGTTTCCGAGTAACGAGCAAAAACACACAAATTTTCGTTAAGAAAAGCGAAGTTGCGTTCAGTTTACGCTCCACTGCGCGTTGGGCCATTTTCAATGTCAAGTTGCGTATAGAAACCTCCAGTGTTTACACAAAATTTGAAGTCAATATCTTCTGTTTTGCGTCCAGGAGAGAGAGCGACATAGGCAAATCAATTTAGAAAATCGTGCTGCTCAAGAATATACATACTTTATAGGGTTTCTGAACCTTCCTTTTGGGTACATTATGAAAAAAAAGCAAAAGGAGTATATCCCCGTTTTACAGTGGTGTCGCAGAAAAATATCGAAAAAGTTGCGAATTGTGGGTTGAACACAAGTAGGACAAGCGGACAGGATGGGTCTATTTTTACATTTTCCATTGAGTAAGTTGAGTTAATATATCCACGTACGACAATTGACGTAAAATATAAAAAGCAGGCGTAGATTTGATTTAAATTATGGTTGAAAGTTCTATGTTTTCCCCAACATAATGTTATTATGAAGGTAAGCTCGAAACTTCAATTCCATGGAAGAATTGATATACGGCCAGCTCGAAAAAGGATAGTTTCGAGAGTAAGGCGTTTAAAAAGCTCTAAGTGGCACTGATTCCAAGTACATTTAAGTAGTGACGACGCTCGAATCATTGTATTTTACATTGACCTCTGTTGGATATCATATTTGAATATTTAAGTCCACCTTTTAAGAAGATAAAACGTCTTCACAAGTATATTTTATCATTTCGTTTATTTTGCTTTTTGTTTTCAATCTCGTTTCATTCGCATTAGTTCCAACATTAAATTTATTTTTTGTATCTAATACGACAATTTGTATGCCAAGTTCAAAATGTCTATCTCATAAGAATGCCAACAGCAGGCTGACGCTTATGGATAAAATGAATTGATAGGATAGAGAGAAAGATTATGAATTCACATAGAAGACGTCTGTCGGTATCTATGCGTAGCAGTCAATTCAATCGGGATATAGTTACGAACGGAATGTCAAGGTAATACACTTGTAGCCTTGACGCGCAGAGAAATTATTAATAAATTCAAATGCTATTCATGCGTATATATGTTGCGGTGTCAAGCACTTCCTTATGTAATAATCACACAATGCCTGGCGATATCTCGCTACAGTACGTAACAATATTTATTTTTCCTTTATAGCCTACTGAGTAGCGGTAAGTGAGGTAAGAAGAGAAGTAAATAGATAACTGCTCTTAGGTGGAAAGCAATG